TGAACAACTACCTATTTTTATGTAGGAAAAAAAAAGGCTAAACAACTATATTATTAGCTAGGAGTTAAGCAAGTATGATACAACGTGAAGAACTACAATAAATAAGAAGGAAAAGAACATGATAAAAAGTGTTGGAAAGAGAGAAATAAAACAAAAGATTGAAACATGAGAATCTTGGAGTATTCATTTAGAGGAGAGGGGAGGAGAATGTGTGTTTGTTTTAAAGATATTGAAAATAACATTTTAACCACATTTCTCCCTGTCAAACTTTTGCGAATGATTTTTTATTTTTTTATTTTAAATATTTTATGTAAGTATCTTTCCTTTTTTTTCCCCTTTTCTTTAATTAGAAAAAGTGGTTGTTACAAAAAAAAAAAAAAAAGAAAAAAAGAAAAAAAGTTGTTTATAGATCCTTTCCTTCTTGTTTCAGTCTTATCTAAAAAAAAAAAATTCCTATTGTTTCAGTTGGATTCTCAACGTTAAGCGGGTGAATTGCACACATTCCTCTACTTTCCACTCCAATTCAAATGTCAGTATACGATTTTGAAAATGTTCTTGTTGGGCTCATTTTTTAGTAATCAGACGGACGAGCGATATACACGATAGCCCAAGGTTTTGGTGAATTTATGCGGATATGTCTGAAGGTTGAAGGCGCTAAAAGAACCCAAAATAAACATGGATCGTTTGGAGTTATGTGGGCTAATTTGCAGTAAGTAGTTTAGAATCAGAAAAGGAAACCAAAAACCAAACTAGACTAGGATTATTCCAAAAACGATGACGTGACTAATTGTGATTTGCTCATCATTTCTTACTCCTTTTAAAAGGAGAATTCTCAAAAATCAAGGAGATGTATTTGAAAAAAGATTAGAATACCAAATTAAAGGTTAATTATTGGAAAAGTCCTAATTAAGCCGATTAGGAAACTATTTCATGGTAATCACCTATTTAAAAGGAAATTGATTAGGTTAAGCTATCCCTTCTCCAAGGAAGCATACAATGGCTATAGTTTTGTCCAAGCGCTATAAAAACCTGTGAAGAGAAAAGATAGTCATCCATCAACCATGCAATTTACTATATTTTAGTCTTTTATTGTATTTCATTCTTTCCAACACTTTTTATCTTGTTCTTATCCTTCTTATGGTAATTTTTTACATTCTATCATGCTTCCTGAACTCCTAGCTCGCAATAGAGTTATTTTGCCTATTTTTCCTACATAAAAATATGTAGGTTTTTTTTACAGTTTTCTGTTTCAACGAATTCGGTAATACTATAATAGGTGTTTTGGGTGCTTATATTCGTGGGCAATCCTGTTTAGGTTCACCTCTATTTGATATTTGTATGTTCAAGGTGAATTTGGCTCCATCAATCTTTTGTATGCCATCGAAAGAGCAAGAAGTGTTCATGGATTGGTTCAAACCCATCAAATCGGCCAAACTATCCAACAGTTTCGTTTTATAAGCACGTTTAAATTTACTAAAACTATTAGTTTCAAAATGGAAAACCAAAAAGTAACGGTTTGGTTTGTGGTTTGAGGATAGGATACTGATGATGAAACCAAGCCGAAACGTTAGTGTTGTTTGACTTATAAATATTTAATATTTGTACATATGTTTAAATTTGCTTTCACTGACAACGACTTCAAAGTAATTGAGTTGGTAGATCAATTTATCTCCTTGCTACCCTAAGTTCAAACCTTCATATCCTCATTTTTCAATTTCTTTTTTTTTTCCCTCTTAAATAACATATCCTATATTTTAGGCCAAAAAAATTGAAAAACCCACGCTTAAGGCTCAAACTGTGGAACTGGACCAATCCACCCCACATTGAATAGTTTGATTAAGGTTTTGAAATTTTAAAAAATCGGAAGCAACAGTTTGACTCTTGTTTGGCTAAAAAACTGGACCATCCGGACCGTATACATAACTAAGCAAAACTATGCATGAGAACGATTCGCAGTTATCATGGGGTGAGTTTTCCATTTTTATGAATCAAGCGCGTGTCTTCGGCTATTCTCTACTTTGTATAATTTGTAGCTTTCTTTCTCAAATTAAAGTCAATAGCCCTTTTAGTCTTAAATTTGAGGTCGGTTCAAAATCAACCATAATGATTTAATTGTGTTTGGACATGCCTTGTTTTTTTTTTCCCATGATTTTGGCTTCACAATTTTAGCACAATCTATTAAATTCATGATCCTCGACCAAGTCATCGAATTAGCTCATTATATAATTGGTTTGTCTAAATAGTTGGAAAATTTATGTATTGATCAAGTGAAAATCTAAAAATCTCAGTGAGAATACCCTAGTTGATGACATACAGGAAATAGATACAGATCACAATGATGTCCATTTTGTTCTGAAACTGATTAAATCTTAGAATGGATCATAAGTAAACTTGAACGTTGACTGTGATATATGCACACACACACTGGAGAACTATGATGATGTCTTTCTGTGATGAACAATGGTGTCTAATCTGTCCAATAAGGGACCTGAATCTGAGACTTACATGGATACAATGTTGCATTTGTTCTTGTTCATTTAGCCACATTCTTTTTTGATCACTATCATTTAACTTATCTATGAAAATGCTATTTTCATTCCTTCTTTCTGAGTCTGTGTGTTATGTCCTTCTGTGTGTCTAGGTCAGTAGGAATGAGTTTCAATTTGTTTGCTTGAAGACAAGAAAATATTCAAGTTTGGGGAGTCTGATAACACCTAAATTAGACTCCTTTTTGGAGGCATTTTCTACTCATTTTTACTTAGAATTTGGAGTCAATTAGTTAGAATTAGTTTACTTTTGGGTCAATTTTGTATTTCAGGGTGAGCAGAGGGCCAATGTGAAAAATCAGCATAAATGGGGCAAAATTGAACAAAAGAGCATCAAAATGGACTAGATTGGAAGTTACTGGAAATTCAGGGCTGGAAGGAGCAATTGGAGCTGAGGAATCCTTGCTGATGAGGTAAAGATGGTTGCAACTTGATCACAAGTTGCTGAATTATGCTATAAGAATCCAAGAGAGGAAGAAGGAGCTGCAGCCTCTCAGTTGCTGCTGCTGATACTGTTGAGATGTTGCTGCTGATGCTGCTGTCAATCAAGGAAAGCCAAGTCCAAAATCTTGGTGCCAAAGGAAGGATGTGCACTACCATCACTGCAAGTTGCTGTCTACCTCAAGTACAAGAAGAGAAAGAGGGAGAATATGAAAAGGAAGGTGGCTGCAACTCTACCACTTGTCACTTGCTGCTACCACTGACTGAAGTGAAAGAACGGATGCTGCAGGAGGTGAGAAATGGTGCTGCAAATGATCCCAGGAGACAAGGAAGAAAAGAGCAGAAGATTGTGGCTGAATTAGGGGCTGAAAAAGAAGAAACATAATGATGGAAGGAAGCATGCTGCTGATGCTGCTGCTGAGGATTAAAGAATGAAGAAATGGAGATTTGTAGCTGAAATAGTGAAGAGACGCCGGAGAAGAAGACTAAGAAGAGAAAGTAATGAAGAAAGGAAGGTGGCTAGTGACGGCTGAAGAAAAGGAGCAGCCAAAGAAAAGACAGCAACTTGCCAATTGGCCAAGTTGCTGAATAAACAAACCTTCAGCTGCTGCAAGTTGCCACTTCTCCAGTCTGCTGCAGAGAAAAAAAAAAGCCAGAACCTCAACCGATCCAAGCCTCTCCAAATCTCTATAAATAATCAGCCAATAGCAGTTAGGAAAACATCAGATTGGGAAGTTAGAATTAGATAAAAACAGTGTAGTTAGTTAGGATAGAAATAGAGTAGTAGCTGCAGCTATAGTGCAGACTATCACTCGGGCAAGTGACGAAGTACATTTCCCCAAGTGAGCAAACGGAATCTGTTTTGCTACTACTCTCCTATCTTCTAACTTTTTGTTCTTTATCATGTTTAATCTTTTGTATTTTGTTTCTCTCATGTTTAGTTCAATAAACACGATTAGATAAACTCAGTTAAGGGTCTAATCCCTACTATCTATATGTGAAGGTTTTGATTCACTTTCTTATCTGAGACATTGTTTCTAGTTGAAATGCTTTAATTAACCTTTTAGTTAGACTGATAAACTAGCTAATTGTGCATGCATAATTATGAAATCCTGAGAGGGTGAACCTAGTTTTAGAACGGCTTAAAGATTAGTCTATGACAAAGGAGACAACTTTGACTGCAACCCTTCGGTTTCAATCATCAATGAGAGTTAGTTGATTGGCATAGATGATCAATGAGGCTTAAGAACTTAATGGTTTGGAATAATGAATAATTATCACTGAGAAGTAGGTAATTTGGTTAATCTGAGGCTCCTTACTCTATCTGAGAGGGAGGGCAAAGAATATGAGTACCTGATCAAATAATAAATCATATGTAACAAGGACTAAAATGAATGAAAACTGGATCATATAGATATGAAGGTGGATGACCTTTTTGCTTTCTCACTCTGTCAAGTGTCTGTTCTCACTCTCCCAAGTGACAATCTGATCAATTTATTTTATTCTGTTTGCACATTAATCAGATTTTAAGTGATTCACCGCCGTCTCTGTGGATCGACCCTACTTACCGCTAGCTAATAGTTTTAAGTAGGTATTTATTTCTTTTGGAGGTGTCAACGACCGTCTACCAAGAAGTTACATGTGCAAAAGATTGATTTCTTGTCTTCATTTACTGACATTGCCAGAGAATTCTGTCGTTGTGATAAAAAACTTCCATCCATATATTTCAACTTTTCCCATTGAATTAATATTAAAGCCCACAAAATTTCGATTCCTTTTAACAGATCCCACTTATTATTGAGGAAGAAGCTTAAGGAATTGATTGAGCACCGCTGCCAGAGATCAAGGGAGAAGAAGATACATCCTTTGACTTCATAGAGGTATTTTAGTTTTGAAACTAAGGAAAAGAAGGTCTGGATAAAAAAATTGTTCTGATATAATCACCATCCAATAAAAATAGCTTATGATATGCTACTATTCATCTATCACTATTTTAACATTGGTCGGTAGATACTACTCTTCTACCACCATTTTAGCATTGTTCGGTAGATTATCTTGGAGCTCTCGCATCGTTTCTTCTGACAACATTATTCCCGTATTTTGCTTACTGATATCATTATGATTTGCCCTTTTGGTTTTGATTATTAATTTCTCCAGTGATTTGCACATTCCAACCAATTTCATTGCAAACTCAACTTGTTCTGCATTTTCTTCAAAATCCGTCAATCTCACCACTTTTAAATGCTTGTGATGATGTTGCCTAACTCGCGTCTCCAATTTCTTTTTTAGTCTTTCAGATCGATAATTAATGTAATTCTGCAACACAACCAAAACGGAAAAAGAAAACATAATTAATTTGTACTGATCATTACTCTATCTGTCTCGATATTATTGTCCAATTTGGATATTTTTATTTCAAATTATATTAAAAGTGTAAAGCTTAAATTGGACAATAATTTTGGGACAGAGAAATATATATAATAATAGTACGATCATATGTAGTTAATTCATGATTATGGTAATCAATACCTCGAATTTCCAGGCTGTATCCTTGTAAAGGAACTACAATGATCAAGAATAAGACAATAACAGTGATTATAAAAATGACTTATGATTCTCAAAAAAATAAAAAATAAAAAATAAAAAAAGGTTAAGTACCTGAACAGACAAGCTAGACAAGAAAGGGCACTCCCCAACACATGCTGCATAATAGAGGAGACTTGCCGTAGGCATTGTAGTGATGAACAGTTCGAGTTGTTTGAGCCTTCTTAAACTAGGAAAATCTGGACATTTGCTATAACTGACAGTGAAATCATAGTCCTAATTGAATCAAATTCAATCAAATGGTTAACAAATTAAGAAAGAATTACTCACAAAAATAGGGAAAAAAAGTAAATTAAATTAAAAGGCCTGCGAGGGGGTCAAATTCTAACCTCCGTAGGACACAAATGCATGACGATCTTTTCGAGTTGTTTGGAGTAAACTCGATGCAAGGGTTTGTCGTAGGTGAAGGATCTCAGAAAAGCTGTGTTCATTGTCAAATTTGACAGGAGAGGGACATTTTCGAAGCAAACGCTGCTGGGCAAACTAGAACTACGCGCGAGGTATTCTAAAGATACCAGATTCGGAGCAGAAATCTTCAAGCTTTCAAAATGCAAATCCCAACATTTACGTATGCGCAAGGACTTGAGATGCGGATTATTAACGATGTTTAGATTCTTAAAACCCGCTGCGCCATTTAAGGATAGGTTTTCGAGAAACGGAGAATTGGACAAGAAGTAATCCAACACATCAGCTTCCATGTTAAAGTTTTCCAGTGTCAATGATGTCAATGAACCAAAACAGCAGCTATTATTTCCCACAAGAGCTATGATCTCCCGTGGCATTGTTATTAATTTATCAAAGTCAGGGTACCGAAAAGCAGCATGGACCCCTTTAATACGAACCGGTTCGAAAGGAATGCCGACCAATTCAAGAGCTCGGACTTTCTTTTGAATGGCAAAACGAATCCAATCACAGATAAGCGCATCACTGACAATGTAACCCGGCTCATCGCGACACTGGCGAGCATGGTTGGGGTTCACTCGAATAGTATTGTGATTGAAATTGAAGTGAATTATGAACTTATCCATATTTGAAGGTTGGTGCATTCGTAAGTCCATGCACTCCCTCATTGCTTTCATCAAATATGGATTATTTGCGCTTCCTTTTTCGCACTTCGAAAGATCGAAAACTAAATCGGATGAAGCGGATCGCCACAATTGACGCCATCTATGAGAAAGGACACTAGTGCAAACTGCTTCGTTGATTACCAAATTGGAGAGGATGGATACAATAACATCATCTGGCAAAGTGTCCATGGGACTGGTAGTTGTTGAGGAAATATATTTCTGCAAACATAAAAATACCAAAATTATAATGATACTGACCTATTATTATTAGACATTATGTTTCTTCGCGCCCTTAATTTTACGAGGGTTAAAAAGAAGAGAGAAAAAGTTCTAATAAAAAGCAAAGTTGAAACCCTAGCTAAGTTCCTTACAAATATTATTATTACCAAAAATACGAAAGTGGAAGACGAAGAAGAAGCTTAAAGAAAAAGAATCGATGAGACTAACCTGGCTGCTTTTGATAGCAGACTCTTTGAGATGGTACAGCCGAAGCTTCCTCTTCTTTGTCGTCTCCATCGGTTGGGGGTTTTTTCTTTTCTTTTTTCTTGGTGGGGGTTCGGTTGTGATGATATATACTCCCTCTATACCAAAATTATTGTCCAGTTTGAAGTGTCACTTTTAGCTCAATTTATACTAATATTTCAGGATGATACAAGTACAACTTATAGATAGTTTCTTTTTTCTTATATTTTTCCTATAATGCAATTACCAAATTTATTATATTTTTATATAATAATCTTTCTTTAACCCGATGCAAATAGAACTTCTCAAGTTGGACCACAAGAGCCCATTACTTATTGTTCAAGACCAATTTGATACGAGTACAACTTATAGGTAGTTTCTTTTTTCTTATATTTTTCCTATAATGCAATTACCAAATTTATTATATTTTGATATAGTAATCTTTCTTTAACCCGATGCAAATACAACTTCTCAAGTTGGACCACAAGAGCCCATTACTTATTGTAAATAACATCCTCAATTGAAAGCTTTTGACTTTTTTCCTGAAGTAACTTCAGTGGTACTAACTTTTTGTTTTGTTTAATTTGTCTTGGGGTCTATAGAGAATTTCGTTCGATAGAAACTTGAAAGGATAAAAATTAGTTCCTTTTGTCTTTAAAAAAAATCTATATTTTACTATATTATAAACAAAAACCACACTTAACAGAAAGCACCACCATTTGCCATGTGTCATTTTCACATCATAAAAATAAATTTTTATTTCCACATCTCCTAGACTTAAAAGGCAAATACAGTCCAAATTCACTTTCACCTCCTATTTTCGTAAAAAGAAAAAAAAACCACGGGATCATAAAAAACCCAAATCCTCATCTCCATCTCCACGACAATCGACTCCCTAATCAATCTCTTCTCCACAATAAAAAAAAAAAAAACAAATTCCTCATCAATCATCAATTGAGAATATGTAATAAAATATACTCCTTTCCTATCAACTACATCCTAATCGGATAAAATTTCGACTTCAAAAAATATTCTCTTAACCTCTCTACATAAACACAAAGGAAAAAAAAATTCTCATTGATCTTGGTTCGGCCGTTGTGGTGGTGCCATTACAGGTATTAAAATTTAAATGATTTTATTTCCACAGATCATTTGTTTTGCTTTTATTATTTTTTAGTTTTCCCGTTCAAGAATAGAGTTATTACTATTATTTTTATGCGTCCATCCGTTACAGCTACCGTAGCCGCTGTCAGGTAATATGATGTGATTTCTAATATGGTTAGTTAGCCTAGAATTTTTGTATGATTTTAGTTCTGTTTGGATTGAATTGATTAATTGGATTTTTGTTACAAAGTGTGGTTTTTTAAATTTCTTTTTTATGTTTCATTCAATTAGAGTAGTTTTCTTTTTTTAAATTATTATGGTCAGTTATGAAGTGTATTTTTTTTATTTAATTACTTTTGATTTTGTTTCATACTCCCAGTTGACCAATTATTATTATTATTATTTTATTTTATTTACAAATGAAGCGCTTTTTTTTTTTTTTGGTTTTCGGGCTTTCAAGAATATACTTTTTTGGATTTGGTTTTTGGACTTTTTTTAGTTCCTCATCATATAAATACTTCAGGTCGCTTCTTCTAACTAATTTATTGGGAAGCCTTTTATGAATTTGAGGTGGAGAGGGAAGGAATGATGTTTCTACGTTTATTTGTATTTTTATACATCATTTTTACTAACAGAAAAAAAAAATCTCAATTTTTAATGGGCTATCTTTTACTTTCTTTTCTTTTTTTATTTGTCATGGTGAGATGAGTTCTTTTTTGCTATAACTTAAAACATATGCAAATTTACATTATTTTCATTCTCATATTTGTGATCAACCCGTTTCAACAATTAACCAGTTTCAAAATCATATTTTTGATATTTTACTACCTATAAACTTTTGGAAGAAATAGTTCCAACAATTCAGCGTATAAGCTTTGGAGGAAGCTTACTACAAAGTTATTATAAATCTCCAAAACTAAGTATTAATCTGGCACAACCAATGGAGAACATCAATAAATTATCTTACTAATATTTAAACTTATTATGATGCTTTTATATTTTGTCTAGCATTTACTTCAAGACATATATTTGATCAAGTTTATATATATTTAATAAGTAACACTTATAAAATATTTCTAAAATCTTCAAACATTTCTAAAACGTACCGGGCCAAATACAATTTCGTTTTATGCCAAATACAAACATTTTTATGATCACACTTATAAAACATTTCTAAATTCTTCAAACATTTCTAAAATATATCGGGCCAAATACAAAATGTTTGTATTTTTATGCCAAATACAAACATTTCTATGATCACACTTATAAAACATTTCTAAATTCTTCAAACATTTCTAAAATATATTGGGCCAGGGTCGCGCATTGCGCGACCAGACATCACTAGTACTATACTAAGGCAAAAATCAGAGAGAGAAAACTAAAGGCATGGAGCACATGCCACATAGGATTTAATCCTATGTGACATTTTCTTAATTTCTTAGACTTAAAAATGCACAAAACAAAATAATAAAACAAAAAAAAAGCAACTAAAATAATTTTAAAAAAATAAAATAATAAAAACCGAACCCTTATTTTCATGAACCAAATCCTAACACAGAGATTGATTGGAGAGAGTACCAAATCCTAACAAATTTTAGAGAGATCTGCATAAACCTTATCACCAGTAAATTTAAAATGTTATTTAAAAAAAAAACAAATTCTTGTAAATCCAGAGTTAACCATGTTTAAAACTGAAGTCATTACATATTTTATAAAAATATAAAATTTATGTAAAAATGAACTAAATGTGTATGCCTTCCCCGTCCATCGGACGGGTCTAACACCTAGTTCTATCTATTATAATCCCCTTTGTTGAAGTAAAACAATACACTAGAATGAATTATTTTCTGTGCGACAGAAAAAAATATTATTTTGATTCGACAAACATAACTCCTCTGAAGCCATCCTAGTAACAATAGATATACTCATCTTTTGCAGGGATTTCGTCTAATGTCAATGTCAGAACTTTTTCCGTCAGACAAGGCGGAAGTTCCTTCAGGTGAGCATTTAACTTACTCGTGTCAAGCCCATCAAAAAGATCTTCACTACCCTCTTTACCACTCCGGAACTGATGAATTGCCCTGAAAACAAGAGGATCAACTTCAACCTCGTCTTCATATCGAACGGAATCTTTACGAAAGAAGTCAAACTTTAAGGTATTTGGTGGCACAGGTTCCACATCTTCTACTTTCAGTGTGGCGCAAACAATTGTATCGGCTTCATCAGTATCTTCCCCGAGTACTAATTTATCAAGCAGATACGTCGCAACTGCTATTTGCTTCTTCATGGGATCTTTGTTAAGGCCTTTTATATAATCCTCCAACTTTCTTTCTTCTGCATACAATTTGCTTGCTGCAAGAAACACGTACTTGAATTTCTTTGGATTGATTGGATCTTTCCAACACGCTAACCACGACGCTGTATTGTCATGCCTTACTTCTTTCCATTTTTCGCCCGGGATTGGAGCATCCTTTCCAATATTTATGATAATGTCATATGGACGGATTCGGGTTCTCAGTTTTCCCATCTTGGGATGTTCTCCTCGCCCTCGAAACAGCCCAGGGGATTCCACCCGAAAATTACCAACCTTCACCTTGACACCATCAACAATTGCCCCCATGTATTTCACCTCTTGCTTAAGTCTTTCTTCTCTTAAGACCTTCTTCTCCTCTACAGTCATTTGCTTCTTTTTCAGCCTCCCTTATGCCACTCGTATATAGGGCTGAAATCGCATTCATCCAGGTCTTGAATTACATGGTTTCTTCCGAGTATCTTTTTCCAGTCCCCAAAAAAGTTCTCCTGGAAACGAGGTTTTCTCGTGTATTTGCTATCTAACATTGCCGCAAACATTGTCGCAACCTCCTCTTGCTCAGGGGTCAGAGTCACAGGCTTCCCTTTGTAAAGCATTTTGACCCCATGAGGCTTGTACGGAGGAGGAAACATCACACCATTGTGTTCCAAAGTAGTCCACTTCATACGTTGAAATGAAGGATCATCATTATTATCATCATCATCTTCTTCTTCTTCAGCCTTTGGTTCCGCTTTTGCAGTTGGGTTTTTGCTGATTGTAGTGGTTGGAGATGAAAGCTTCAGTTTCTTTATTACTGAATCCTGATTTGCAGATTTCACTTCACCTGGAAGATATCTTTTGTACGACCAGTAGAGTGAATTGTTCACTGGACCATCACCCAAAGCAGAACCACCTTGGCGAAATTTTACTGAGCTATTGGAATGCTTTAATCTAGAAATCGGTGGGAACCTATGAGAGAGAGGTATTTCATCTTCTGAATCATCACTTTCATGGACACCCGGCTTTTGAGCTGGAGTGGAACTTCTTTCACCCTCCTTGGAATTACTATATCTAGCAGCTGGAGCTAAAAGCACGGCTCTTTCCATATTGTCTATTATTCGCGGACAATATGCCTCAATACCCATTATTCGCGGTTAGGATACCTAGTGTCATGCAATGCCTGTATTTACAAATACAAAAAGTGACAAACTACTTCAATATCTACAAAATCAGATCAACAGCATAATCGAAAGTTTTGACATGCCGAAAATCCAAATTCACCATGGCCGCATAATTAAGCCCTAAACCTAAACAGATTTTACATCTATCGAATGACCATATATATTACACTTCTACGTTTATATCTGTGACCTATCATTGCATTCATACAATCAGTTGCATGTCACTCTACCCAACACACATACACTGAATTCAGTTTTCCGCGAGCCATGATTTTGTATATGAACCGAAACATATATAATAATGCGCAATGGGGAAATAGCTCAGCTTTAATTTCAGCAAAGTAATATGAATTCCAACCACTACAGAGATTATAAGTTTAGATCTATATGGTATTTACCTCTTGAGGTAGGTCGGAAACTACTCTATTTAGTAGAGGGTTAATTGAATTGGAGCATCCAAATTAAGCTTATTCAATACGAATTAAGTCTCAATGGTTTCCTCTAAATCAAAACCCTAAAATTCAATTGCAAGAATCTTAGGGCAGAATAGAGCTACAGGCACAATGAATAATTCTTATAAAAATAAACTTGCGATAACAAATAGAAGAAGCGCTTACCAGGAGCAGGAAAAATTGGAGAGCAAGACGATGAAGAATCTTATATAGGGTTTTAGGTGGTACTTAGCGTTATACGAGGAAGGGAAGGGAAAAACACTGAAATTCTAGATTTATATGTGGAGAAACTTAGCGGCAGTTGTGGCGGTGAGGCGTTTATACTGCTGTATGTCAATTTCTAACACTACCGTGAACCGGACATGAACATGATATAAATAGGGTTGGGATTGAGATTTTGAACTCCTAAAATAAATGTGTTGGGGTTCGGATTGACTTGTTTACTGTATTAACATGTCGTATTACCTGGGTGATCCATTTAATAATAAATTATCTAATACGTACTTCCTAAATATAACGATAATTTTAGTCTTAATTTATCTTAAAAATATTAAAAACATTCTTATTTTTTTCTATTAAAATCTTACAAAGATACTAATTTTTCATCCAAACATATGTGATAGATTACACGTTTACTAATTTTAAATATTTGTTTTTTAAAATTTTATTTTTTAAAAAATAAAGGTTAAACGGGTTGAAATTAACCTACAACTATATATACAAGAAACTAAAAACAGCTGCAATTTATTTTTAAAAAATCAAATTGATATAAGTATTGCATACCAAGTAAAAATAAATGAATAAATAAATAGATATTTAACCAAAGGAAAAAAAGAGAACATAAAATCCTTGACAAGCCAAGCGTCCTCTCTGACAACTATGTCATGACACCTATCTTGCTCGCTACGAAGAATTCAGTTGGTTTAGTTTATAACCGATCAACTCCGCTTAAAGGATTTCAACCTTCTTTTTTAGGCCGATCGAGACCCTTTAAGGGCTTTGTCCAAGTCCCTAAGCTGTGCCATGAAACCGATATTCGGAGAAGCCACCGGCCTTTTCTTTTGGACACGGTTCAATGCTTTAGATAGGCTCATACCACGCTTCTTCATCAGATACGCAATCACAGTAGTTGCACTCCGGGACTTTCCCACAGCGCAATGAACCAAAACGCTGCCACCATTCTTCTTCGCTTCGTCAATGAACTCGACGCATTCGTCAAAATGTTGCGAGATATTTGTGTTTATCGTATCTTGTATGTCGACTATTTTGTAGACGAAATCGTTTGGATAAAGAGGGGGCAACGAATCGGCTACTGTCAAAATATGAGTGACATCCAAGCTTTGTAAAGCAGTCTTGTTTTTTGCGGCTTTTGCAGAACCCAAGTAGAGACCCTCCTCAATTTTGGAGGGTACATCGTCCCCTCTGATTTTAGTGGCTGAAGAACTTCCGCAGCAAAACATGATGCTAAATGGCATAAAGTTATTCAATAAGATTACAATGATGAGAAAGATATATCAAAATATATGTTCTTGGCCATTCGCCCTATCTATACAGGCAATAGATTCGGCCATACAAAAAAAAATTCCTGGTTGGAATTACAAAAGAAGTCGGCTAATTATAAAAAAATAAATAAATAAATAAAACTAGCACGGTCTCCTAATTCTTAACTAACACTAATTTCAGCCAACATGTGATCAAATTGACCAAAACACCAAGCCGACTCATAAATTTACCAATACATCCTAACTATTATAGTAATAAAAACAGACTTCGAAGAACAAACTAAAACTTAGCAAAAGCCTTTAATGATTAGGCTGACTACAATCCTACGCCATGGAAATCCGACGATATCATGATCAGAACACAAAATGCTCCACGGCCATGATCTGTCTTGCAAAACAAGAAAATAACTCATGAAGTTACCTTCTCAATGGGCATGTTTTATGCGGATCACTCATTCTGGCCTGATTTCTATCAATAGATTCTCATGCATACTCGAACCCCTTAACCATCCCGATTACATTCTAACTGTCTACCTTCACGCACTCGCCATCCTCAAACCCAAGAGCAATTCCTCTACCTAGCTTTCTGCTCTGGTGATGGATAAAAAAACCATAAAGCCAATGGCTCCTTTCATTCATAACTAGACTTGCGCTGATGATTATACCTGATCCGCAACAAAACAACCCATATTGGTACTATTTACTTTAACCCATACTTGTGGTGGCTTCTGCCACCCTATGGACACAAGCTTCTTTGCCGGCCCTTGCAAACCCTAGACAAAATCTCGGGCTTCCGACTTCACTTGTACTATGAAACAGAACGTTGAGATGTTTTTGGCCACCTTGGAACAAGTCTTTGAGATCAACCCAAAACGTGTCGTATAATGGATCAATAGCAGCGTGGGTAAACAACCACGATGACAGTAGTTCGTGTCGGTCAATAAGTTTGGTACTGGAAATTAATAAACCAACAGAACAAACAAATGCAAGGAATGGGGAGGGTGGAACTATATTACTGGTGCCAATTACTCTTCCGATTCTATTTCAAAGACTCAAATTAAAATTTGAAGTATAGGATCTATTTATCGCACTCAAATTATATTTAAAGTATAGGAGGATGGAATAGATTCTGCAGAACCCAATACCCCATATAGAATTGGATGGACATTTTGTTGTGTAAAAACCTCAATGCTGAGGTGATTGCAACTTTGAATTGTAATTTTGTTTGCCTAGCTCTTGGTAGGACTCAGATAAATAGTGCTGAGTATTTTAAAACCAAATCTCAAAACCTAAATGCTAGAAACACAATGATTATTTTTTCTCCTTTGAAGTTCTTTTATTACATCCAAACCATGGATTCAAACCCCAATTTCAGAAGCTTTAGTTAAGATTAACTACACTGTATCTAACTATTCTTGGCAATTAAATCTAAATACACACATTACCCTGTTTAAGGTTTACAAATCCCTAGCAACTCTAACTACACATAAAAGCAAAAATTTAGACAATCTGTAAAAGAAGAAGGGCCACTAGCTCTTAATATTTGTATGGACAACACAACGACGTTTCAGGCTAGTGCTTAAACAACTAATCCTAACCCAATACATCCAAACTCCTCCTCTGCAGAATCTGTAAAGTGAAATGAAAGAGAAGAGGGGCAATGGGAGAGGGGTCAGCTAAAGCCCACTGGGGTTCTAGTTCTATCGTCTTGTGAGAACTAGTCCAATGTCATTTGAATCCAAACAAATTAATAAAATAAGATCAGATTCTGAATAAAACAGATACATGACATTATAGGATGGTTGTAGCCAAGGACATGAAAGACAACTTTATGAGGAACGGTTGACTCAAAATCCAGAGTCTCCAAAAGCTTTTATAGCCCTGTTGGTAGACTTTTGGACTGGACTCTAAGCAACAGATCTATTTATTTGTTCGAGCATTAACTTATTCACCTTATCCACCCCAATGGCCAAAACAAAAGCAAGTACTCGTAGTTATCCATAGTCTATCCCAACGTCTTAGTCCATCACGACCCGTTGGATTTGATCGTCCCAAGGCGAGTGTTATCAAGTACACATTCAATTCTTATCAGAACATTTTACATGCATAAGCAATTTTGCATATATTGTCCCCAGTGCGGTTAAGTACACAACCGAGAAACATCACAAAAGTTCAAATGGCACATAAAATGGCAATGATAATACAATCAATATACCCGAGGACAGAAACACCCACCTGGTTTGCTATAGCATTGATCCAAGAACCCCTCTCACAGTTGGTAATTTCTAGGTGATCTGCAAAACTAAAAAAACTAAATGCTAAGTTCTGTTTCTTAATTCTAATTTTTTCTATTTTAAGAAGTTGAAACCAAAAAGGATGTTCAGAATTTTACAAGTCCTGTTATGCCAATGTTTGAAAGGTTTTCAGAGTTTTTCAGTAGTTTTGATAGGTTGATAAAAAAAAAAACAAAATAATGCTAAGAAAATAATAATCCATCCCCACCCAGCTCCAATTTCGGTTGCTACCCAACACCATTTTCACTAACTTTCTAAAATCAGAGCCACATAACTTTCTAAACTCACGCACTAAGCTTGACCGTGTGTATTTGGAACTTAATCATCATCCCTTCTAGTATTTGATACTTATATCAGCAAATAAGGACGGTACAACTCTTTCTTTCTTTACACCCCAACCTCACCTTTCCCCTTCTTTTATTTAGTTGTTGTTTTGCTTCTTTCTTGTTTAGGTAAACTTATGAGTAACAACAAGAACAACAATATCATCATCAACATTTGTATCCAAACCGGTAAATAACAAAACACTAAACCCAACATCTCAATCTAAAACGTGGCAACAATCCTATCAATATATATAAGAGTTCACAATAAAATTACCCAAAAATGCAACATCACGGGCAGCGACTATCTTTTGGCCAACAACTTTCAACCAAAACCTTCAACTCATTCTCTTTGTCAATCAATCACAGTTCCTAAGCATAACAAACCCTTAATTAAATTCTCTTTGTCAATCAATTACAGTTCCTAATCATCAACTGGGTTCATAAAGCTGGAAATAGAAAAATTCTTTCTTAAACGTTTACCAAACAAATCAAGCAACTATACGACTCATTCAAACAGAGGCCTTTGCTCTCTTGATAACCGTAAATGAAATTAGTAATTTTCTCCATACTTGGCTACAATAATACCCAAACTCGCATTCAAAGTTCTACATGGGAAATTGAGAGCTAAAATTGATAAGGGAAAACAAAACCCACTACAACCTCCCCCAACATTGAAAAAATATAAAGGAAAAAACCCAATCGGAAAACAGAACATACCTGTTCCGCATGAGGATGTCAGAATGGGAATGCCAACAACGATTGCGTGGAAGCACCAAGAGATGATGTTGATGGAAGAAGAATAAGTGTATTGATTTATGACAAATCAAAGTATGAAATTGAAAGGAGAAAAAGTAGTGGCAGATAGGATAGAAAGATGGAAGATAATGCAAGAAGAAACCTCAATCGCCATAAACTGCAGCAGGGTTGGGCAATTTGGAGGAGAAACCCAATCGGACTAGGAATTCAATTCCTCCAAACAGAAAAATGTTAAGAAGCAAAGGAGCTTAATCGATTTCATTAATGGAGTACAAAAACCAGAATAAAAGGGGAGAACAGAAGGCCGATTAACGATGATGTCGGTAATGGGGAAAAATTATCCTAAGAAAGTACCTTAAACTAATACAATTAATTACAATTTGTATCCTTTAAATTTTATTTATTTCTATTTTGACCCCTACATTTTCTAATAACTAATTTTCATTTATCAGAATTTAGAAGGGTTAATTATTAATTGATTAACTAATTACTCCACCGAGAAACCTCGTTCAGTTTACTACGAGTCTTCACTTGGAGTGAACTGCAAGAGGAATCCACGACACCTCGGTAGGTAGGGTGAGGGAAGTAGTATTTCAATAAGAGTGATGAAATTTTAATTAATCGATGTGGCCGATTTTCACATGGGTCCAACCATATTAAATATGAGATTAGAGTAAGTTATAATATATATATACATATATATACATATTAAGGGAGAGTTTTCAATCGGACACATGGCGTAATATTAGATAAGCTAATCAACATGACAAAAATTTAGATAACCAAATCAACATGTCGCGTCACATCACTTCATCATTTAACGGTAACTTCTATTTGTAAGTTCGTTAAATCTATAAATAACTAATTTTACCCGATTTATTTATGCAGAAAAATAATATAAGTTTTAAAATCAACTTAAAAGGAAAAAAAAAACAAAAGAAACACCGAATTAATCTAATATAAGCACTTATCTTAATTAGATTTATGTATTACGGAATTAAAGTAATTGAAAAATAATTGGCAGCGAATACATAGGCACTTTTTTTCTCTCTTTTTTTATTTGTATCTTTTTTCCTAAATCTACGAATCCAAATTAATTATAGGATTTGAGAAGTGAACTATAATTTAAGTATTATCATGGAATTACTTTTTAAATATTATGATTAATGCGGTAAAATTAGACATTTACAACATAGTTAATGGGTTGAAACGTTTAAAAAAATATTTGAGACGTGACCAAAATAACATAAAAAAAAATTTTAAAAAAAGAGATGAACATGCAAGATTTCTAAAACGATAGATCCGTATAAGATTTTGTGTAATCACATTTTACAATACTACCTAGAAAATAAATTTAACATCCTCCATCTATCTCAAAACGATTTGACTAAAATGAAAATCCAAATTGGATAATCATATAAGAACAAAAAGATTATTTTTTCAATAGTAATCATTAAATTCAATCAATCCGAGCAACGGTAAAACATAATTAAATGTTAGTATATAACAAATAAGATAATTTTTTTTTAAAAATAAATTATATAAAATAGTATTTAAATTAATTTATTCCTTATAATATTGACGGATCCAGATAAAAAAAAAGAAAATAATAAGATGCTTATTTTCGGTTACCCAGAATTAAAATTGTTTCATCATAGTTAAGAAAGTAATACTCCATACCGATGCTAAATAGTTTTTTTTTTTTTTTTTTGCAGTTTTCCTTGCATATGCATCGTGGACATCAGGTTTGACATGCGGTTTTCATTGATGAATCTTCTAACATTGATATAATATGTTGTAAATTTAAAAGAATCAATTAAATAATTCATTATATTTTTTTCGTGTGATACAATGGTAGAAAAAGTTAACGTTATGTTGATAAAACAAAACATAAAAATTGATAGAGGAAAAATTCCAAAACGAGAAAAAGAATAAAGGTTTTTGTAAGAGACAAATAGTTGAGGAAAGGCATATTGAAAAATTAAAAATAATTATATCGAGAAAAAAAATGTAGAGAATAAGAAAATATAAAAAAAAGAATCCAGGGTAATGGTGAAAATGAAATAATTATTACAAGTTTTTCAAGAAATGAAACTTTAAAGATAGGTTATCAAATTAAGAAAAAGAAATGGTGAAGACTATATAACTAAGGAAAAAATGAAGTAAACATTACATTATAAGAAAAAGCAAACAAACTTCTAAAGAAAGGTTGCAAAAAGTATATAGAGAGATGAAAAATAAAAATAAGTTTATTGAAAGAAATAATGAGAAAATTTTATGTTAGAGGGAAAATTTAAAACATATGACACGAATATAAATATTTAGAGAGATCATTATAAAAAAGTAAGAGAATACTTTTAAAAAGATACTTAAAATAACTCTAATACATTGACAACCGTACAACGTGATACATTTTAAAGAGAACAACATAGTGAAAAGGGATAGTTGGCTTATAGGAAAAAAATACAGTATATTATAAGAAAAAAGTAAACACCAATAAACTTCTAAAGAAATGTTACAAAATTTATATAGAGAGATGAAAAATGATAAATTTATGGAAAGAAATGATGAGAAAGATTAGGGAAGAGTTTAAAAGATAGGACACAATATAAATATTTAGAGAGATGATTATGAAAAATTAAGAGAATACTTTTAAAAAATATAAACTCATGAATCAACAAAGCGAAAAAGATGGATAACGAGTTACATTGGATTATTTCAAATGTTGAAAATTATTCCAAATGTGTTTAAAACAACAAAACACATTGACATTGAAAATTACGCAATTTCAGTTTGTATCATTAATAAGTTTTTTTTAACATATATCACTCTATCGGAAATATCATATAATCGTTATATCATGAACCTCATATATATCTTAAACAACCCGCACAACGTGCGGGGTAAACACTAGTATATATTAAAGGAGAGTTTTCAATCAGACACATGGCGCAAAGTTAGATAGGTTAATCCACGTGACAAAAAATTAGATAGCCAAGTCAACATATCGCAACCACATCACCCCATCATTTAATTGTAATTTTTTAATTTGTAAATGCGTAAAATCTATAAATAAAAAATTTATAAAATAAGTAAAAGGGTGGTGATTATTCCAAAGCGAAGTTTAGCATTTAGAGCAAATTTTAAGATAAAAAGACATTGTTATCCGTCTTCAAAAGAACTTCTTGCTGCCTGTCCTCAAAACCTAATCCTCAGCCGCTCTAGTCATGACAAAAAATGAAATCTGAAAATTTGTTTTCTACAAGTTCTAACCGTAGGCGGATATCATTGAGAGTCATAGTTAACCTGATATCTATTTTAATCCAGTTGAAGACAACAATTCGGTCTGAAGTAAATTAACGCTCGTTTGAATGAATGAATCAATGATTTGATATTCGGAACATACTAATACGGTAAATAATCACCAAAATCCAAATCCGTTGCTGAAAAAAAAAAAAAATTGAGCATAAAGATGCATCGGTTTGTAACAACAAAGAAGCCTCCAATAAATTTCTTTTTTGCCTTCATATTTTCTCTTTCTCTCTGGGCAGCAATATTTTATTGTAAATTGGATGGGTATTATTCATAGTTTATTGGTGGAGTTAAAACCTCAACTCACCGAATCCAAAAATGGGGCCCTCTTTGAGTTTAGATTTTCCAGGAATTATAGTCAAACACAAATCCCAGAAAATTAAAAATCCTTTACTAATCAAGGCCATGAAAGATGAAACACAATGGTGGTGGCAGGGGAGGAGGAGCACCGTGGTTAGAGGAGGGCTGATGAGTTTGAAAGATGATGATAATTGTGTAACTAAGGATGGATAATTTTGTAATTTTATAGCAAATTTGTTTTAGATGCTAAAAATTGTTGTGGTAAAATCACTAGCCTAAGTAAAATAACTTCTTCTTACCTTAAGTAACCTAATCTCAAATGACCTTCATGGATTTTTATTTTTATTTTTTAAAAACTGCCATATCAATTAATTTTATTAATTTTTCAAACATCATTAATGATTGTTAGAACCATAATGGCACCCATAATGGTAAAAATATATTCGAACAAACTATTTTAATATTACTTACTAATAATTTTAATGATAATCGTTTTAACAATTAACTTTAGTAATGTTCATTTTATCAAATTTGATTTATTTTTTGCGTCAAAAATTAATATATTATTTATTCTTATGATTTCTTTTCCTTTTTTTATTATTTATTCTTATAATTATTTTAGTAGAAACGAATAAAGGTCTTTGTGAGAGACAAACACTAGAAAAAAGTATATGGAGATATTAAACATAATTATTTAAAGAAAAAAATTATGTAGAGAATAAGAAACCTAGAGATAGTTTTTTGACAGATACTCTCTTAGAGTTTCAATACGCGATATTGAGATTTTATTTGTCCTTAATTTTTGTTAATGTACCCTAAAAAGAAGAAATTACAATGTAATGGAAGAGATTCTTAATTTTCTTCTTTAAGTGTGTTGAAATGTTATACCCTTTCAATTCAAGGAAATAATAAGATGCATATATTCGATTCCCCGAATAAAAATTGTTTTAACATAATTAAGAAAATAATACTCCATATTGGTGCGAAATGGTTTCTTTTTACCTTTTTTTTCGCATTTACATCCTGAAATTCAAGTGTGGCGTGCGAATTTCATCGATGAATCTTCTAAACTTGGTGAAAATTGGTAATCTGCAGCAAAATATAAAAATTCAATTAGATGATTCATTATATTTTTTCTATATGATATAATGATAGTAAAAGTTAACTTTATGATGATTAAAAAACGTAGAGATCAAAAGGGAAAAAGTTATCTAAAATGAGAAAAAAAAAATAAAAGTCTTTGTGAGGGAGAGGTAGTAGAAGAAAAGCATATTTCGAAATTGAATATAATCACATGGAGGAAAAAGATTATGTAGAGAATAAGAAAATATGAAATGAAACTTTTAAATAATAGTGAAAATATTAAATAATTATTGAAAATTTTTAAGAAATGAAACTTTAAAGAGAGGTGATAAAATTTAAGGGGACAAAGGGGTGAAAACTATAAGCAAGAAAAAAAATGAAGCAAACACTATATTATGAAAAACAAATATACGAACATACTTCTAAATAAAGGTTGCAAAAAGTATATAGAGAGATAGAAAATCAGCATAAGTTTATTGAAAGAGATAATTAGAAAATTTTTGGTTAGAGGGAGATTTCAAAATACATGACACGAGTAGAAATATTTAGAGAGATTGTTATGAAAATTAAGATAATACTGTTAAAAGATATAAAGTGATAAACTAACAAACAAAAAAGAT